ACAGAGCTAGAATGAGATTTGAAAGGGAACTTTGCAGAGTGCCGAAAACACAGGATAACCCAACACCTCTGCATAATGAATAAATAAATGAGAAGCAGCAAGAGGCAGAACAGACCAGGTGGTAAACTTAAATAGTGACACTGAAGAATAGCTTCGGATAATTATAGGGACCAGAGGTGACATGAAAACACCCCAAAACTGAGACAACAAACATACTGATCCTCTTATTCCAAGGATACTGCTGCTGCTGAAAAATATTTCTGGCATACCTGCTGCCGTGTTTCTAGGGTTCTTGTTTTCCTGAAACAAAACTCTTTGCAAACAATCAGTCCAAGGGGCAGACAGGAAATTATATGTAGTAGCCAATGAATGGAGAACTGGGTGGGGCTCATGCTTCAAATGTACTTTCTCCCGGACAGGTTTGGGGTCTGGGTATTTACTAGGACTGGGTGAGGAGGGGTTGCCTGCAGGCAGTTCTCAGAGCTTTTCACGGGAAGAGGGGAGAAGTCAAGCAATCAGGTACCACCCCTTTCTTCCCAAATTTGGGAATGGCCGTACTGTCCTGGTGCTGATGGACGCATCCTTATTGATAAAATGAGAACATCCTGGGCTCAAAGTCACCTGGAGTAAACATGACATCTAGGCCAGACTGAGCCAGACTCAGCATCCTTCAAGTAACTGAGAGTACTCACAGCTTGGTGGACAGCAGGTGGGGACACAGGGTGACTGGCATACGACATTTAACTATTTTTTTTTACAGTTTGAAATCATATTTTATTTTTAATGTTTCTAGAAATATTTATTAACTATTTTAAACATGAGTTCAATCCCCAGTTCCACCAAAAAAAAAAACTATTTTAAACAGAAAATGCCTTTTCCCTTTCCTTTTTATAGCATCAATAGCACAAAAAACATTTTAGAAATGATACTGAATCTTTGGGAAGACTGTATCTTGTATTTAAGGAACTTGAAAATCTAGAAGCATGGGACACATTTTCAGAAGAGTAATTTGACATTTACTCATTTATGGTGATATCTTCAGAATCAGCATTTAGGGAGGCCATATGTAATAAGGAGTCCAGGAACAGAGGGGTCTTCTCAAAGTTAAACATAGCACACACTATGAAGACGCTGAGGAAACAGAACACACACTAACAAAAAGAACACAGGCAAGCTCAACTTCCAGTATTATATAGCGGGTATTTCTAAAGGCTGTAAAAGCATGCTCCATTAGACACAGCTTGTCCTCATTTCTGGAAGCAATGGGCTTTTCTCCTTATGTACAGCAAAGGGTTATAACCAAAATAAACAGGATTTCAAAAGTGCTAGTATTTAACTCTTATGGGCAGTGACATCTGACTCACAGGACAAGAAGCCATCAGTGGTTCACATGCTGGCGACACACCTTTCTGGTGATGACTTTTATTTTTTTATTTTTTATTTTTTTTATTTTTATTTTTTTGCAGAACCAGGGATTGAACTCAGGTCCTTGTGCTTGCCAGGGAAGCGCTTATTCCACTGAGCCATCTCCCTGGCCCCAATGACTTTTAAAACTGAGTTATTACTCTGCTATGAAGAAGGCTAAACTTGAATCAGTCATGGCAAAATGCATGCGCCTGGAAAGCATAATGTTATGTGAAATAAATTGGACACGCAGGCTTAAATGTTGCATGGTTTCTCTTATACGAGAACCCCAAAATATAACTAAAGAGCAAAATAAAAAGACGGATAATAGGAAACAGCAAGACAGGCCTTTTGCAAAAGGGAAAGAAACCAAGAGAAGGAGGGAGGAAAAAAGGAAACATAAAAAGAATGAAGACGCTCTAAGCACTTGTGCACCGGCTCCCCGCGATGGATGTAATCACGTACATCGCAAACGTGGGCTAACAGACACTAATTTTCTAGAGCTATTATTTGAAGTTTAATAAGCTTTTCCTTATTTCCATGCCTCATTTATTGATCAAAATTAACATTAATTAATACAGTGCAGTGTTCAGCACCTAAGGGGAAAGTAATAATAACAGTCAAAGCAATTGTCACTTATGGAGCACTTACATCTCACTCCTGCACTGCTCCATGGCCTCATATACAGCCCTGAAACAAGTACCGCCATTTGTACCTCTAGTTTTGGTGGAGGAAACAGAGCCATAGAGAAAAGAGGCAACTTCTTTAATGTAGCAATACTTGGCAGCATTGACATCTGCAGGCAGGTATCTGGCCCTAGCATTTTTAATCTCTTCTTAAATATTCAGGAAGTGGGATGAAATTAGTGGTCAGCTGCTTTATTCACCCAGCTTGGTCCCAAATGACTTCTAGCTCTTTATCTTCTATGGAGGATGTGAGATGATCTTCAAAATAAGATAGAAAAATTCTGGTTGAGCCAGGCACAGTGGCACACACTTGTAATCCTGGCACTCTGGTAGGCTGGAGCAAGAGGACCCCAAATCTAAGTCCAGCCTGGGCAATTTAGTATATAGTGAGATCCTGTCTCAAAATGAAAAATTTTAAAAAGGCTGGGAGTATAGCTAAATACAAAGGTCCTGAGTTTGATTTCATGTACTACCACCAAAAAAAAAAACAAAACAAAAATCCAAAAAAGTAGCTGATCCATTTATGAATGAGTCTTATCGCATGCCATTCTTACTTCCTCATCCTAGTTTTCAAATAATCAACAGGTTAAAATTTCAAAGTCCCTCTTACCCACCCACTCACGTAGTGTCATGAGACACATGAGACAAGGACTCACCAAATTCCCTCCTTTCACAGGAGGAAAAGCATTGTCTGAACCCACGAGAGGGCACCACCAAAGCCTAAGAGAGCCCTATCTTCAGCCTTGGGCAAGGAAGAGGAGACTGGAATTGGGAGGACCAGGAAAGGAGCAAAGGGCAGGAGGGGGAGCCACAGGATAAAGGTCCCAGGTGGGCCAGCAGCGAGGATCTGGGCTCCCAAGGGCTGATAGTTTTCAAAGCCACTTGAGCCCAAATTAAAGGGCCGACATTCACAGGAGGCACAGGGAGCTCCCCAGGGTATGAGTGCCTGGTTCAGAGCCCAAAGCCAAGTCCAAGACAAGGCAGGAGGAGCTGGAGCCTCTGAAGCCCTCCCAGGATCCTTTGCACTGTCCTAAACTGGAACTGCCCAGTGCCTGCAGTCACAGACAGAGACTGAGTGAGCAGGCTATGCTCCAGGGTCCGCTGCCAAAGCATGGGGACCATCAGCATGCAGGGACTCCTGGCCACGCAGGGATGTGGAATCCATAACACCGAGCATCTGCAGAGGTCCTTACATGTTTAGAGCACCTACCTAGAAACCCTGCGAAAGAAAGGGTTTCAAAGACACCACTGACTGCGTCACTTTTTTAAGTAGAGAGTGTGGGGGAACACAGACGCTCTGAGATGCCCCCAGGAGTTAATCTCAAGGGCCTCACCCTGGGCTCCTCCCTGAACATCAAACTGTGCTTAGTTTTTCATTTATCTTGAGGAGAAAACTTTTTTGATGAACTGACAGGAAAAGAATTAAAGAACACAGAAAACAGGCTAAATACGTATGTAATACTGTCCTTAAGAGAAAGATGTCAAATCCTCTTTTTTTTTTAATTTTAGGAAAGGGTCTACAGGGTGTTGAGGGTCTCACTACTAGATAGGACTTGTAGTGATCTGACTGTTTACAGCTTCCCAAGAGCTGGGATTACAGGCATGTGCCACCACGCCCAGTCTCACTTGCGCTCTCAGTGCGCCCCCCGGGGGCGGGTCCGGCAAGGCAGGCGGGATCAGGATCTAACCTGGCCCCTGCACCTGCTTGCAGGCGCTTTAATGATGTTTAAATCCTCTTTCTCTTTGAAATTGAGTGTGCATATTGCAGGCACCTGCTTTACAGAACAAACATTCCCGCCCCCCAGCAGGGGATCAATTGCTAGGCAAACGCTGTACCATCCAGCTATCTCCCCAGCCCAAGACTCCAGAATTTAACTAAAATACCTTATCACAGACAAGCAGTGATGGTGTACCTCTCGGAGTTTTCAATGATACAGCCTTCTGCAACCCGTGTGCCATAGGCTCACCACCACTGCACACAGGATGGGTCCAACCTGCCTGCATTTACCACCATGAGTAAGATACCACAAACCCACAGGGGAAATGCCACCACCCAGAGGGGCCCTGTCCTTAAGTTCTCCTTCTGCAACTCCCTGACCCAGGACAAAGACAATGGGAGGTAACACTAATAGTTTAAAAGGTTCCTGCATTCGGTCGAGGATTTTTTTTTAAAGCTTGGCATGCCCATAGGAAGGACGGGTAAGAAACAATTTTATTCAGTTTTCTATTCTTTGGAAGCTAAATTTACGCATTAAAAGTTACAAATCTAAGCAAAAAGTGAAACAGAAACAGGACGGGGGAAAGTCAATGGAATACAATTACTTTCTGCACTTATTTACTGTGTACATTATATACCACTGTGTGTGTATACAGATATTGTAAAAGTAATAATAAGAATAATGCTGTTGACAAAATTAAGGCACCTTAGGAGTTAGTGACCTAAGAGCTTCTTTTCTGGTTTGATCAGACACAGGAGACATGGCTTTTGTCCCTGGTCAGTGGGAGATGGGTTTATCCCTCGCAGCCCATGCCCCCACTCCTACACTGCAGAGCTGCTTGCTGCGGGGTGCTCCGGAGTGGATTTTCTTTTCAAGATTTGGTTATTCTTTCGAACTGAGTAATGTCTCTACTAGATGTCCATTCTCTAACCTGACGCTTGCGCGCTGCCCACCCAGGAACATACTTCCTCCTGTGTGGGTGAGGAGCAGTGAGACTTTGCCCACGGTCACAGTTACACCAAGTTCGATGACATATGCCCTGTAACCTCCTTCTCCTTCATTGAAACAAGAAAGGACGCAGGAAGCAAGACTGCAGCGCAGGGCCCCCGGGCGCGCCGGTATCACCTGCTCCAGCTCCAGCACCCGCGTGGCCCCGCACCCCCTTCCCCGCGTCCCTTGCTAGGTCCCTTACCGCGCGCGAGCATCCTGCGCAGCCCGGCCAAGCTGCACCGGCCAGAGCTCAGAGCCGCATTCCGGCCGCAGAGGAGGGGCACGCGGCCATTCTCCCGGCGCTGTCCAGGCCCTGGATGGGTCTGCGCTCCGCTCCTCGGTTCGGGGATGGGAGGAGCCGCAATAAGCACCGGGAATCTGATAGGTGCAGGGCTGGGGGCGGGGCGGCTCAGGGGCGGGGCTGCGATCCCACAGCTGCCTGGCGCCCCTTCAGGAGCCGGGAGTTGTGTGTCCCGGCCGGCGGGAGAGCATCCCTCCCCCTCCTTGGACACTCTCGATGGTGGAACTGCGCAGATCCCCTGGGCCGGTTCTGGGAGTTCGCTGCCCTTCCAGGGACAGAAGTTTACTTTGAAACCAGCCGCTCCCCCGCACGAAACAGAGGGGACCAGATGCCTCAGAAGGCTCTGCCCTCCCCTGTCCTCTTGCAGTGGATCAAGGTCAGTATAGCCTCTGCCACTCTCGAGGAACACGGGATGAAGTGGACACGGTTATCTACTTTTACAGACGGGGAAACTGAGGCCCAGAGCGATTCCCCTGAGTAGAGTTTCAGGAGGAGCCCAGATTGAATAAAACAATCTGCTGTAGTGGACCGTGGCAGGTAATGCCCGCAGGAACTCACCTTTCTCTGGCAGGAGAAGCAACCATATATGTGCCTACCTTAATGTGCATAAATACGCATGCGTGTGTTTTGAGAGTTGGAGATTTATTGTCTAATCCTTGGAGGCCAACATGGCTGCACAGTAAAACACCCTGGAGAGCCCTGAAAATTCACAGCGCCGCTAACCCCAAGCCCAGGGGACATGACATATTTTATAAAGCCTCGTTTCCCACAGCCTCAGAACAACGCTGACCTCCCTTCCTGGCGGAACTATGATCTTTCTGCACAGAGATCATGTGAGCTCCTGTAGCTAGGAGGGAGCAGAGTTCAGGGCTTAGATGCTGCAGGATCATTTTGGAGAAAGGACGGGACCCTGGAAAGCGGGGAGCTGTGGACTGGAGGCAGGGGGAGCTGACAAGCAAGCGTCTGATGAGAGGAACACTGCGAGATCATAGAGGATTATTAACTCCCACTCTGTCTCCTGGGGTAACCGAGCAGGCCTGGTGCACTCTCAGCTCAGCAGAGCCAGGCAGGACGCAGGATGAGGGAGATGCAGCTGCTGCCTTGTACAGCCCAGGGGCACCTCTGAGCCCTGCACCACCCTGGTCCCCTCCCACCAGCCTCTGTCAGTCACTGTCACCTCAGCACCCAGCCTCAGACTGCTGAGGGACTGTGATGTGAGGTGGATAGAGAAGCACTATCCAGGGAAAGAGGCCTGGGAAAACAGATCTGAGAGTCCTCACAGACAGCAGGATCTCAGGGACTCAGCAGGCTTGCATAGAGGGGTGAGGGCCACTGCACAGGGACACTGTTGGAGCTGAGAGCAGAAACCGAGGAGAGAGCATCCAGGCTGAGTGGGCACAGGGAGACATCCTAGCAGCAGGAATTGCCTGCCTGGGACTCAGTATGGTTATGTGGAAAACAAGCTATCCGCAGAAGGCTGGGCAGGCAGGGCAATACTTGTGTGCAAACCACTTGGCCCAGTGAGCCCTCAGCAGACCAGCTGGGCTTGGCTGTAGCCTTCGGAAAGTGAAGCATCCTGACCCAAGACTCATGTTCCAAGGTTCAGACCGTGATCTTGGCCAAACTGTAAGGGACGCCCAGGCAGGAGCTGCTATATCTCCCCTCCCCCCACTGTCCCTGTTGGGGGATGGGCCTCATTGTGAGCCATGAGAACAGGCCTGTCCTGTCGTGGACTCTGTCTGGGTGGAGTCCCGACACCAGCTCACCACCGAGCCCACCTGCTTCACTGGGGAGGACCCTGTCCTGTGCATGGCAGGGGATTAGTAGCAGCCCCATCCCTACATCCACAAGGCCAGGAACACACAGGTTATAACAAACAAAAGTGTCCCCAGATTTGCTAGACATCCTGTGGGGAGGAAAATCATCCCTAGATGACAAGTGCTACTCTAGTAGAAAGGATGGGGCCCAAGTGCTCCCACAAATAGCACAGAAAACCCCTACCCATGACAGCTATAGGAACAGGGCAGGACCACAGAACAAGCCCTGATCATAGCGCTTTGTTCTAACCCTGCATCTCACTGGTTCCTGCGCTACTAGCCCTGGGGCCACTCATCCCCATCCCAAGGTCCCCTGTGCTCCCCTTCCAAGTGCAGGTATTTGTGACACTGCTTCTGGTGACCCCAAGATCTCTGTGCTGTCACCACCACCACTTCTGGATACCTGTCTCACACCCCCTGCCCCAAGTCTTGGCACTCTCTTCCATTTGCCATGGTTAGGATGTGATGTGAGTCTCACAAGGGCTCCCCAGTGCAGTGATCTTCAGAGTGGATGTGACTTTAAGAGGTGGTGCTTAGTGCAAGTTTAGGTCTGGGGTGATGTGGTTTCCATGGGAGCCCAGGAGGTTCTTTTGAGAATGCTGTTATAAAAGCAAAATAGCCCTGCCCCCACTGGGCAAGATGCCCATCTTGCCCTGTGATCTGTCATCCATGCATCCCACCAGGACACCACAAATCACCGGATGTGACATAGCCATGGAAGGGCCCCCACCTAAGATGAAACTGATGATGTCACCCTAACTGAGGCTTTAGTTCCAAACCTATGAGCTACGTATTCCTGGGTCTCTTGCTTCAAACCTATGAGCTTTTCTTTATAAAGCACCTAGCCTCAGGTGTTTTGTTAAAGCAGTGGAGAACAGCCAAATACATCCTTTATCCTACTCATTCAGCGCTGCTGCTTAACTTGGCGGGAGGACACCTGTTTCTCTATGCTGTCTTCCCTCCCAGATGAGATTCCAACGTACTGGTCCCACCACAGGCCTTCACCTGGCACATTGTTTGTATCTGGATGGCTCCAAAGCCTCCTACATGCATAGGTGGGTTTTGGCAAAGCTGGTTAGCTTACGTGGTGAACAGCTGATTTGCTGCTAGGTGGTGGGGTCTAGTTGGAAGGGACAGGTCATTGGGATGTTTTAGTTACTTTTGTTTCTGAGACAAAATACCTGATGCGCAAAATTAAGGAAGAAAAGTTTTATTTGCTTCACAGTTTATGAAGGTTTCAGTTCATAATCAGCTGTGGCAGGAAGGTGGCAGAAAATACAAAAGCAACAAGAGCAGCAAGGAGAGCAGCAAGCCTCTTTTCCTCCTTTACAGTGTATGCAGGCAACTCGCCCTTGGGCAGATGTAGCACTCCCATCCTCAATCCTAGTACTAGACAAATAAAAAAAACCACAAACTCTGGATTCTGCCATCTTGGAAAATCCAGGCCCCCAGGACTACATGAGGTTTTGAGGGAACATCCAGACACAAACCATAATAGAGGATGTGGCCTGGAAAGGTTATAACTCTCTCCCCACTTCCTCTCTCAACATTCCCTGCATCCTGTTCCTCATGCCCTGGGCATCTTTTCCTCTGCCATGCTATCCTGCCTCAGAGCCAGCTAACTATAACCTGAAATGTGAACCAAAATAAACCTCTCCTCCCTTAAGTTGTGGGTGTCAGGTATTTTGTTCTAGCAACAAGAAACGTATCCAAAACACACACGGTGAGCACAGAGCACTACCTATGGGGTCAGTAGATGAGGGAAAGACTACCTGGTTTCCTTTGCGGGGCTACTGTAGGGAGGAAGGCAGCAGGGCTCTGTGCATAGGGTGGGAGACATCAGCCCATCTCATTCCAGAACCTAGCTGGAGCCAGCCTCATGGCTAAGACAGTTCCAGCCACTCTTGTACAAATTTAGAGCAGGATCCAAGGTTCTGTGAGGCCTGGAAAGTGGCTTTCCTGTGAAGCCACTATCCCAGTTACAGGGACCCAGCCTGGAGAGCTTTGTAGCCCCACAGCAGCTTCCTCAAACATCATACTGAGCTCTCTTAGGGATCAGGTGAAGGGCACGGGAACAGAGAGCTGGTGCCACTGCTCAGAGGCCCTCGGCTTGTGCTATAGTGGCATGACCACTGTCTTGGTCCCCACTGAAGAGTACCACTGCTCCATCTGGGGATACCATGCCCATGTGGGCTGACCCCAATGCCACAGGCAGGCTGACCTTTCTCCATCTGGGAAGGAGTGGTCTTTGGTGGGGCTGCTCAGTAAAATTGTGACTTTTCCCCTTCTGGGGGACTCGGAAACATGGGCTGAGCTGGCCAGCACTGGCCTACAGATAGAAAGACTGGGCGGAGAGGAGGGTAAGACTCTGCTGTGCAGGTGACAAAGGAACTCATACCCAGAATGGGACTACAAAAGAGGGGCTCCATGGGAATGGAGGAGTTGTGTTGGATGGTCCCTATGAAATCTGAGCCCCCAGCCATGGGGCCACAGTGCCTAGGAGCCAGAATACACGCATGCATCCATATGCATAATTTATATTTTCATTTATTTTGGAATTTTCCAAAATAATACAACTTTGGCTAGGGAGATAGCTCAGCAGTCTAAGTGCCCACCTGGCAAGTGCAAGGACCGGGGTTTGATCCCTAGTACCACATGCCATGCCAGTCCCCACACTGTGCTAGCTACAGAATCTAGGCATGGCGGCACATGCCTGTAATCCCAACACTGGGGAGGCTGAAACAGGAGGATCACTATGAGTCCAAGCTGTATAGTGAGATCATGTACTAAATACATAAATAAATAAAATGATTTAATAATAATAATAATAATAATAATAATAAAACTTTATAGCACTCAGGAAACCCAAGGACATTTAGACAATGACCGACAAACCCCAGTGGTTGGGTGGACTGGCTGTTCAGGCTGAGTCGCTGTCACAACACTCCAGCCTTCACCCAGGTCTCCAGGGAGTTCTCTAAAGTTTTTGGAAATTAAGTTTCCCCCACAATCTTCAGGACAAGATTCTAAACCAGGGAGGGGACAATGAGGTGGGATTGTAAAGAACTTGCCCTGCTGTTTCTGTCACCCTCTCCCTGTCCAAGCTGGCTATAGCCCTTAGTTTCCTCATGTGCACAGTGGGCATGGACATGGGGCATTGAGGCCATGAAAGAGAGTGCGAACAAGCTGGG